GAAAAGGGAGTTCTCTGGGGCTGGAACAGATTAGTCCATCCGTATGGACAGGCTACACTAGTACTATTGCGCTTGTGACGTCATTGACGTAAATATTCTGTAACGCAATTTCGAAATATTGACTATGATATAAACTCTACTTTCAGTTCCATTTATTATAATGAATTAGCAATATATATTTGGTTTAGTTTGACAATGTAATGAAAAGTAAACAAATAAATGAAACTCTATTTTGATGTTGCCACAAATCCATGATAGCTGTTTTTGAAGCCCGCAATAACTCCGTCAACGAATTTCACACCGGTTTTACTCGATTCTTGAGTTGAGGAAATCTGAAAATATCTGTATTTTATTTTTCGATATTTTTAATTAAAGCAGAATAATTTTTAATTAAACAAATTAAAGTTTAAACTAGTGTCTAAACTAGTGACGTGCATTTCAAGACCACTACCTACACTGAGAACCAACAGTTTGAAGTTTAGACTAGTAAGAATCTACCACAAAGGACGTGTATTTCAAGACCACTACCTACACTGAGAACCAACAGTTTGAAGTTTAGACTAGTGAGAATCTACCACAAAGGACGTGTATTTCAAGACCACTACCTACACTGAGAACCAACAGTTTGAAGTTTAGACTAGTGAGAATCTACCACAAAGGACGTGCATTTCAAGACCACTACCTACACTGAGAACCAACAGTTTGAAGTTTAGACTAGTGAGAATCTACCACAAAGGACGTGTATTTCAAGACCACTGCCTACACTGAGAACCAACAGTTCAAGTTTAAGCTAGTGAGAATTGAAACCTGAAACTGTATATATTCATGATTATTCATTGAATTCTCCCAATTCTCCCGATTATTCATCGAATTCTCCCAAACATTTGCATAAAAAGCGCTGATCTGTAACAGATTCTCAGGTTTCGTAATTGTTTTCCCAGAACAAACTGCAGTGCTTTCGCTTACAAAAGACGAGCTATAAAATATAAAGTGGGAATCATTCCGAGCGCATTTACAATTTTACAACATGAGCACCGACGATTTATTAACAAAATTCGATGAAATGGTGAAACGCTTTAGAGAAGAGTTCAATGAAATTATCGAAGGGGAACGTGCCAAAATGAAGGCGGAAGTAGAAGCGTATAACGCGGAGAAGCAGAAAATGAAACCGTTCGAAGTTAGCGACGATGATATAATAGATCTGAACGTCGGAGGACAGAAATTGACCACCAACAGATCTACTCTGTGTCAGGTAGAAGGTTCGTTGCTTGCCTCCATGTTCAGTGGACGCTGGGAGGATCTCAAACGTGATAAAGATGGCGCCATCTTCTTCGACTTCAACCCACAGTATTTCGTGATAATTCTGGATTATCTTCGCGCGAAGAAAAATGCGACTCCAGAGAATCCCGTACTTGTGCCGAAAGTCCCTGAAGAGCAAGCAAAACAGTTCAATGATCTTGTTCAGAATCTCGGTTTGACCGAAGAGTTCGTCTCCAAGGCTGAAATTTCGCCAGGCGAGAAATTCAATTTACACAGTGCTGAAGTCGCTGTTCAGGAAGGCGGAAAAGTGGCCTGTAAAAATGTTTCATCCGACGTTCATGGCTATGTTCTCGGAGAAAATGTCTACCAAGATGGGATTGTGAATCTCAAATTAAAACTGGAATCTGTGAAAAACAACAAGTGGATGTTCGTTGGTATTATAAAAGATGATGCTATTCAAGTATCTCCAGCGAATAACGCTTCGTGTGGATGGTTCGGTTCCCATGGATGGGTACTGGGATCTGATGGTGGTCGCGTGTGGCAAAATACGTTATGTAAGATAAACAGTACTTTAAAGAATCTTTCTAAACAAGGTGATACGGTTGAGTTAGTCTTAGACTGTGATGCAGGCATGCTCTCACTACATTTGCCCACTGGTCAACAATTTCAGCTAGAAATACCCAAGTGTAAAACCTGGAGACTGAATGTAACTTTGCTAAATGCAACGGACAAAATCCGCATTGTGGACGGTTAACGGCCGACGAACTGACTATTCAATGAAATCAACTATACTCTAATAGTTCTATAATAATTAAAACTAAGTAAAAGTAGCACATATATTGACAAAATACTTCCGATATGGATTCGTACACTTATATAAAATAACATGGACGTTAAACTTTGTATGCTAGTGTCAGTTATATGATCATGTATAGCCTACGGTGTAGACCCCAGCAGAAACACGTCTACACCGGCCGTAGGCTATTATATGTAGGGAAGGGAGGGGCTCTGGGGCAGAAGTGAATTAGTGCCATCAATATGAGGGGGACCTCCTTGACGTATGGTATAACCTCGCCTTTTATCTACGACTAAAAATCCTTCATTCAGTTTGTAAATAGTACTTTTGATTAGTTTTACAATGTAATAAAAAATTGTTTGAACTTTGTGGTGGATTCTCACTGGTCTAAACTCGTATGTCAATCATGCAGTCTCTGCGTTACAATGTTATCTTTATATACCAAGAACAAAGAGATATTAAGACTTTTACGTAAAGGAAGTTTTCCAAGAGGTGTACTTAGGAAATAAAAGAGAAGTGGTTTCGAACCCATCCAAGCAATTTCAAGGCATGTGTGTAAACGTTATATGATGTATTTCTGCTCCTTCACAGAACAATTATATACCATGCTAAGTTATATGAAGACAAAGCCAGGTCACATCATGTAATTTCCTTTCCAAATTACTTTTGAAAACATACTGTAACGTTTTGAAACGACGGAAATCAGTTACCGACCAACACTCTACGTTTAAAAACAGAAAATATTTCATTTTTTCTCTAGAAATTTCTGTGCAACTTAATGTCATTCCTGGACAAAGAGCTTTTATAGTGGTTGCTAGTATCACCTATAAGTCTTTTTGTAGTCATCTCTTTCTATACACACTCCATATTAGGTCATGAAATCACAAGATATCATATTTGATTATTTGTGTAGCAATCTGTCTGGCTAGATCGGTATGAGGAAGACTTACTAGTTACTGGACTAATAGTGCTAAAGATTATTCCTATACTAAAAGGTATTCATATTAAGATAGTTTGAAAGGGTATTTTTTTTTACTCACAGTATAACGAATATATCAATATATATAATTAAATTAAGGTTAGTATTAAATGTAACTGCGCCAGAATATAAAGCTTTTCTGTTCGCTGTCTAGAAGGTTAAGCCGTTTAAATCGACTTTCATAAGCTCTCATCACGACTTTACGCTGATTCACAATTGATGACTGAGAGCTCATGAGAGCTCGTTTGACCGGTGACAGTCCACTTGCAACAAAACCTCAGCAGACTTGTATTTGTTTAGTAATGTTGTCCCAACAAGTTTGTACTGCTTGCTGACAAGTTGTTCCCAGCTTGTTGACAACTTGTTTGCAAGGTTGTTGAACTAAACAGACTTTGTTACAAGTACAACTTGTTATCGTCCTGCAATTCAACAATTTGTCAACAAGTTGCGAGTGACAACCTTGTAGTAACTTGATAAAATAACAGCATTGTTAGAACTTGTTGACAAGCTTGCTACAAGCTTGTTACAAGATTGTTGAGCTCAACAGACGTTCCTGCAATTCAACAATTTGCCAACAAGTTGTGAGTGACAATTTTGTAGCAACTTGATAAAATAACAGCATTGTTACAAGTTGTTGACAAGCTTGCTACGAGCCTGTTGCGAACACATCTTGTTGAAAAGTTGTGAGATTTTTACATGTGGAACATGCATAGAAATCTGTTGTGGAAACTCTCGCTTTTCAACGTCTCATCTTCACTTTGATCGAGGCTTGAACTGAAATACTATCAATTTCATTCTGTAATCACACAATATTGACGCCGTTTCGTATGAGAAGTTTTCACGATCTTTGAAGACAAAGAATCTGATACTCTTCCTCAAGACTGAAGTGCTGTTTAGCTCTAGAAATATGCATTTCAAAAGCGGTAACAATTAAAAATTAATTTACAATCTCTCGTTAATCCTTTATTTGTTTTTGTGTATGTCGTTTTGGTAAGCCAATATCATTGTATGCACAAAGCCGAATCGTTACAATTACTGCAAGACTATCTATACATATTGTGCTGTTGTACCAACGGTTTGAAATATTTGTCCAACATCAGCTGATGAATGGTGAGTTCCAGCTATATGGACTAAATTTTCAGGCAAGAAGAACAAAATCCATCACAACAGCTAGAAAGAGCATGTTAAAATGAGTAAAATTGCAAAGTTTCGTTGCGAAATATTGTAAAATAAGGAAAATAGCTATAGCCCTGGGAAATTTGCAAATTTTGTATTAATTTGTATTGTCATAAAAATGCACACTTTCGGCCCAAATGTGGTGCATTTTTTCCGCGCGTAAGACAAATTAAAACAAAATTTGCAAATTTCGCAGGGCTATATTTTCCGCATTTTACAACATTTCGCAACCAAACTTTGCAATTTTACTAATTTTAACATGCTCTTTCTAGCTGTGGTGATGGATTTCGTTCCTCTTGCCTAGATTACAATTTAGTCTATAGCTGGAAAGATCCATTGCGCGAATTTGGATGGCTGTGAAACAGCGAGTCATGGGATCGGTGAGTACAAATATAAAAACGTCGGACGTTTCCAGCGTGTCCTTTGTCCCCAAATCGTGGAATTTAATTCACGCAAAGTCTGTCGGAATGTTTGCGCGTTTGCTTGTACACAGGTTAGATACCAGAGCATGCGCTTCGAAGCGTCCAAGTACAACCCATCCGGTTACGAACAAGCTGTTATCAAATGTCACTCGATCAAGCGGTTAATTACTCCCAGAAATGCAGAGACTAATCAAACCACTTTCGACAGTCTGACAGACGCAAGCTTCATTGGTTAGGCTTGGTTACGCCTGTTTCGCGACAAATCTCACGTCGCTCTCCAGATATTACATTGTATTTCTTCGCAACTGTATTAAACAAGCGCTTCTGAAACTTCGACGGAATCTTTTACGCAAAATAAAGGGAAATATCAGTCAGGTAATAATATATGATATTTATCTTGAGTGCTAGGCTATATAATTATGTTATCAGTCTAATATAACATCGTCTGTTCAGTCTAGCATCGATACGGCTCGATTTTGTTGCAATTATTTCATATACCACACATCACAAGGGAAGTTATTGCTTATTTAATGTCACAGTATTTGTTATACTGGTGATAAATTGGAGTTATTCTGAGACTGTTGGGTTTTATGTGAAATATGATATAGCTAAAAATACAATGTTTTATATAGTAGATTTCGAGGTAAATTTCATAGAGAGGATCGGTTGTAGAGCTCTGTTGTGTCAAATGTATAAACTTTCGGCGATTTTTGACGCGCTACTGTGGCTTACAATAGTGGATTATACCGAATGAAAATAGATTTGTCATTATATATATTATGGCAAGGTAGCATTCATTATTTACTCGCGCGAATCATAAGAATATAAAGCGCTGAATTTAATGCGGACATCAGGTCGAATCAGTCAGATTTGAGCCTTTGAATGTGCGATCCTGGTTGACGCAGAATTTAGAACGGAACAAAAAATACAATTTGGCTAAACCATGTATGAATGATTTAAATATTAGCGCTATTAAATAAGGATCGAGTTTGTGGCTTTTATAATAACACAAGCAATAACAAAGATTTAACGAAAAGATTCAACAAAACTTAACGAGAATGAATATGATTTCTAAGTTATCATTTTTTTGTGACAGGTTCCATAGAAAATGTACTCTATTTTTTTGTGTTATAATCAACGAAAAACAGAACGCTGTGTCGGCCACCCATGGCCAAATATAGTATTATTTGGCCGACATCGGAAGATAGCTAAATAAATATTTAGGAATTAGCAATGCCGTGATAATCCTGCTGTTATCGTAATCACAGAATGCTGAGCGTCCGTAATGAGGACTTTCTTTACAAAATGCAGTTTCATGCACATTTCGATGCTAGTTTTAAGCATTCCTTTGCGGCAATGCGTTCTTGTTTTAAACCTGTTTGCCACAAAGCGAATATTCGAGAAACATGAACGTTTATTGCGATGTTTATTGTTCTGCATCAATGCGGTCAACACTGTGGTTTTACAGGATTTGACATTTGACCTGGATTATTAAAATGTCAGCGCACGCCCTGATGATCGAAGAAAAATATTCGCTCTCTTTTATGGCAACGTATTCCATATTTGAAGCGTTTGTAATTACCGACAGTCCGTGATGTGATGTTGTAAGGTTAAGGCTAAATTTACACTGCATAGCTTTCCGTAGCGACGTGAAAAAAACATCTATCCGTACCTTTTAGGAACGCAATTTTCAGAGGAATTATTGCAACGGAGAGATGTTGTTTCGCTCAGTTTCTGAAAGTTGTACATTCCGTATCAGATAGTTGCTTTTTCGCGCCGCTACGGAAACCTATCTGGTATAGGGTAGACGTAGCCTTAGTGTTCTCTTCGAGTTCATGAAAGGAGTTCGTTGCTGGAACTGTAAAAAGTTTTTAATCTTTGATGTTGCTCGGGTCCTGGAATTTTTTTTTTCTTCAAATGCTCGTCAAAAGTGCGCAAAGACAATGAAAATTTGAAAATCGTACTTTACACCAAATTTGAACACTGAATTTCACGACTTCAAATGCGGGGTTGCCAATAGAATTTAAGGTAGGATGCTTTTGAAAAGAGTGGGTGGCTTAATGTATGTGGTGTTGAAGTTACCACGCGCCGAACGTGTGTGCACATTATCATGGGTAGAAATGGACCTATTCCCTAATGAACAAAATTTTGATCTCAACAAGTCTAGACAAAAATTTTATCACGGCTTGAAAGAGCATCACAAAATTAGTAATATTCCGAAGTTTCGTTGCGAAATGTTGTAAACTGCGGATAATATATAGCCCTGCGAAGTTTGCCGTTTTTCAGTCATTTTGTATTACGCACGGGAAATACAAAATGACTGAAAAACGGCAAACTTCGCAGGGCTATATATTATCCGCATTTTACAACATTTTGCAACGAAACTTCGGAATATTACTAATTTTGCGATGCTCTTTCAAGCTGTGATGAAATGTTTGTCTAGACTTGTCTAGATCAAAATTTTGTTCATTAGGGAATAGGTCCATTTAATAGAAAAGAAGTCAATGAAGTGTGGAGCCTTGGAAAATGTAGGATCTTTATGAAACTAAATTTCAAGTCATATCACGAAGCTATACCGAAATGGATTTTGAAGCAATACGAAGTGCCTTTAATGCATAGATATCTATGCTTTAATGCTGATTTCAGCTTAATGTATGATGATATAAATTTTCGCAAAAATACAGCTCACATTTCGTTACACTGCCCAAACATTTGACGACAAGTATCGTTTAAAATTTGTGTTTTAAAAGCGCTTGACATTTCTATCATTCTGTGGTATGGAGGAAATAGTTTGGGTTATGATTTCGAGAAATAACCGGCGATTGTCTGTGCTATAGGCGGCGATATTCATCGGTTTACCGGCCTCTATTTAAAGAAGGAGCGTGGGTTCGCAGACTAGCTTGTATTGGGAATCCTGCAAATGACAGATAAGGAAGTATGATATAATGATTCCTTAAAAGTCCGTTTATATACTTGCCATTTCTGCTGCGATTTCTACTTGCCATTTCTGCTGCGATAGTAAAGTATAGTCTGCGACTATACTTTACTATTTTACCGTCCGCTCAATGGGTTAATCAGACTATATCTGCCCATGCCATGTGTCAAGTTAACCCATTGAGCTGCATATTGCGCGCTAGTGCGCCCCACTTTACTAATAGATCTACTCTGTCTAACGCCAGACAATTTTACTCATCAAGTGGCGAGCGCTGTAGGCACTCAATGGGCAAGATTCTTTCATGTGTAAAAAATTGAAAGAGTATCTCAATCTTCTTGATGAGGCAACTGTTCCTCCGGATCCAGGAGCCCAAGATCTCCTCTGTAGCCGTGGTTTGTTTTCTGCGAATGCCATCTTCTGATTATAATTTCACCTCAGCCCCATGTGAGAATGGAGTGCTTCCAGATTGACTCCACCAGACACCGCAAGTTTTTATCCAGATACTTTTCTTCTGTCAAAGCCTGTCAAGATGCGATGATCTGGAAGCCCGGCAAACTTCAAAGCCACAAAATACAGTCGAATCCCTATTAAGCGGACACCTTCGGGACCTCGCCTAAGTGTCCGCTTAAAAGGGGTATCCGTTTAAAAGGGGTATGTAGAAAAACACAGCAGGAGGCAAAGGGGTGTAATTAGGTGTGTAATTAGAGTATCAAAACTGTAAAAATATCTAGCAAATAACTAGCATAAAATGAAAATTTCTTTGTGCATAAAAGTTTATTAGAAAATGTATACGTCTTTCACAGTCATATAAAAAGGAATCAATACAAGTTTGCTGCCGAGGCTCACGCAGACGATAGCCCATTACAATGCCATTTACATAAAAATGGCGTTGGAAAGTTCTTCCAAACATCGAAATTGTGCGAATTCTCCAAGTTGGTGTGTCACTGTCAATGTGCCATGTAAATTGATCTCAATTGTTATTTACTGTCGACAGGGCCGTCCTCAGGAAATTCTTCAGGGGGGGTTTAATAAGGTCAATTCAACCGACTGGTTGAAAAAAATTTTTTCCGGATCAAAAATTTTTTGTCGACCTCCCCCCCCGTCGCCAAAAAAATTTCGGTCAGTGTACCATTTTAGGGGTCAAAAAATTTTTCCGGACGTAAAAAAAATTTCCGGAACATTCAAAAATTTTCCGCACATAACAAATTTCGAACATTTTTTACATTTTTCCAAAATTTTTACATTTTTCCTCATAATTTTCCTAAAATTCCCACCACGTTCTTGCCCTTTGCGCGAAAAATATTTAACCCAAATAGCAGTTCTACCGACTGAATAGCAATCCTACTGACTGAATAGCACTCCTGCCGACTGAATACAATTACTGGGGGGTGTCACACCCCCCCCCCCCACACCCCCCCGTAGCTCCGGGCCTGACTGTCGAATATTGAATACATTTTATCAGACAATCTGTCATCTGTCCGCTTAAGAGAGGTTGGTTTGCCCATTGGGTCTTCAAGTAAGGTGTCCGCGTCCGTTAAAGAGGGGTGTCCGCTTAATAGGGGTTATGATAATAGTATTTTATTAAAGAAAACGAATGGGACCTGAGATATGTGTCCGCTTAATAGAGGTGTCCGCTTAAGAGAGGTGTCCGCTTACCAGATGATCTTGATACGCGGAAAAGTACTGGCACTAGTTGTCAAATAGAAATCCATTTTATGACTAAAACAACTGAATATCTCCTGTAATATACTTTATTTCGATTCCATATTTTTGTCAGAGCTATAGTTCTCATAACCAAACATAATTACAAAATTTCAACTAGTTTCATGAAGAATAACGAAAGATATAATTGACTGAATACATCAAAATGGATTTCTATTCGGACAACCCTTTCTGAGCGTTGATTGGCTAAAATACGAACACGAGATCACCTAGTATAGGGGTTCGACTGTAGAAGAGCTTTGTTTGATGTTGAACTGTACGTCATCGTGCACAAATCCTTTGTCTCAACTTCATTGAATTTTATTCAATGTGGTTGCACGTTTTATCTCAGCTATCCCTATTGGACGGTTATCTCATAATATGAAAATACAATGAGCTCAATCATCGTGCACAAATTAACATAAGCTCGGACAAAAACAAAGCGCAATGACTTCAGTTTCCAGATCATCATATCTTGATAGACTCCTGTTGTAACATTTTATCGGACGACCCGACTGAGTACTGGACCTCTAGGGAGAACAATTTAGAACTGATAGAGCTATCCAGTATAAATAAAGTTAGTTTAGGTTAGGTTTCCTGAGTCCTGTAGTAGCACTGGATCAATAAGAGATGATCGTTACTGGCCTCTAGGGAGAACAGTTTAGAACTGATAGAGCTATCCAGTATAAATAAAGTTAGTTTAGTTTAGGTTTCCTCCTGTAGTTACACTGGATCAATAAGAGATGATCCTTACTGGACCTCCAGGAAAAACAGTTTAGAATTGATAGAGCTATCCAGTATAAATAAAGTTAGTTTAGTTTAGGTTTCCTCCTGTAGTAACACTGGATCAATAAGAGATGGTCCTTACTGGATCTCTAGGAAGAACAGTTTAGAACTGATAGAGCTATCCAGTATAAATAAAGTTAGTTTAGTTTACGTTTCCTCCTGTAGTAACACTGGATCAATAAGAGATGATTCTTACTGGACATCTAGGAAGAACAGTTTAGAACTGATAAAGCTATCCAGTATAAATAAAGTTAGTTTAGTTTACGTTTCCTCCTGTAGTAACACTGGATCAATAAGAGATGGTCCTTACTGGATCTCTAGGAAGAACAGTTTAGAACTGATAGGACTATTCAGTATAAATAAAGTTAGTGTAGTAACACTGGATCAATAAGAGATGGCAATACTAGGAGTTACTCTCGCGAGGAAAGTGCTGCCATGTTGCTAAAAACATCTACAAAATATCTCGAGCTTATTAAAAGCGTGCAGCAATTGACGTTGCAGAGAAATGCTGTCATTAACGCGCGGCGTTGAATGAAATTTCGGGAATTATCACACCTTTCATTTAAACATGGAATTATTACATTCAACGTTTCCGTTTATGTCTTGTATGCACATATATAGTGTAGGCTGTTGATGTCGAAGTATTTTAGTGATTTTTAATGATATTTTGACGAAATTGAGAACGCGTGCTCTAAGTCATACCTCGCCTCTCTTCGTAGTCGAACAGTTGAAAAAAGACACTGGCTACTGTATGTCATCAAAACTCCACTGAAAATTTCTGATAGTGGCCAGCAACGCTATATTTTATCACCGAATTCCAGAATATTCGTATTCAAATTAAAAGACAGCAGCATAAACATCTCAAACTGTTAAAGGCCTAGTGCTGACATTTTAAACATCATCAGATGACTTAATTTCCTGCGTGCTTTTTATCGACTTTTAACCATGAACGCATTTAATGCAATGTTTACATGTTGCAACGTGACGCTAATCTAACGGATCACTCTACACAAAGGACGAACTCTATGCTCTTCAGAGGCAGTAATTTATTGTTCTCGACTATTTTTGGCAAGTGCAAAGAGCCCGGCTATATTGGACGTTTGATTTCAGTAGGACCACTTGGCTTGGCCTTGCATGCTCACATAGACAGCCTCTAATCATTTAGAATAATGGTTGCAATTGAATCATATCTATACATGTAGCAAAGACTACAAGCTTTAAATATATGCACATCAAGGTATTTAAGTATTTAACTGCATGTATCATTATTTGTGTTACACTTATAGAAATGTCGTTAAATACTTTATTATAGGAAACTAACGATGTACTAAATTTCCACGACATAAATTAGCCGACATGTTAATTAACGCAGATTTCTTTAATAACCTCAAATTTAATTTAATTAATAACGGATTTTTTAACGTTTTCTAAATTAATTAACAAGAATTTTTAAAATCCGTAATTTTTGTACTGGCATATTCTGTCTTCTGTGTAAAGCAAAATAAAGAAAGGTACTAACTTAAAAACTTCTTTGAGCAACTTTTTTGCATATTCGAATGTGATTGAACAGTTGAATTCAGTTGAATACTTTGATAAAACTTTATAAGCATGGATAAGCATTGAATCCAGCACAAATATAGTCAGCTTGAGCATAAAAGTATGTGGTTTTGTATGTACAACGTAATCTTTGTCTTGTGATGTTTTGGTTGTACTTAATAAGGGTCTATTTAAAACCAGCCATGTAGACAGTGAAGATTTAAATCTGAAAAACAAAATCTGCATATTTTGCGATAAGTATGGCGAAGTTATCATTACCGGCTGTGCGCATTTATGATAAAATAACACGATTTGTCAACACTGAGCAGCAAAACATCAGATTGTATTTACAAAACAACCAAGAAAGCTTATTAAATCAAAAGAATTTGTAAAGCCATACGCATTAGTATACTGCCTGTCGTGAGATAGGAGCGAATAAGGGATCAAGTTCAGTTTACGCTTAAAGGTATATATTGTTAGAGTATTGTTAGTAATTTAAATGAGTGTTTCTTGGGGAAAAGTGAATAAACCAGGTAGCATTGTTTCCTAGCCATGTTTCCTGAAGGTGAATAAGCCAGAAAACATTGTTTCGTAGCCATGTTTCCCAAAGGTGGACAAACCAGGAAACGTTGTTTCCTAGCCATGTTTCCCAAAGGTGGACAAACCAGGAAACATTGTTTCCTAGCCATGTTTCCCAAAGGTGGACAAACCAGGAAACATTGTTTCCTAGCCATGTTTCCCAAAGGTAGACAAACCAGGAAACATTGTTTCCTAGCCTGGGTGGGCGAAACAAACACCATTTGTTAGAACCATTTGCTTGTAAAATAAATAACTTCAGGGTAGATTGCTCAATAACAACGAAGGTTTGTCGCGGCATGTCCAGGCAATACATGATGAACGTTTAAAAATAAGCAAACAATGTTTGGAGATCATTATCACACCTAATTACCCTTTATTACGGTTGAACTGCGAAAAATATGTGAAGCTATTTTTTTCAAGTCACATGGGAAAAGACATTTGCAACACGTCGCGATACGATGTGCAGAGATTTCGGAGTTTATTTTATTTATTTCAACAGACTTTAAAATTTCATCTCAGTGTAAATATTCTCGCTTCAAAATTGTCTCATAGTATTGATGATTCCATCTATGGACTAAATTTTGATCTAGGCAAACACAGCTAGAAAGAGCACGTTAAAATTAGTAAAGTAGCAAAGTTTGGCCGTGAAATGTTGTAAAATGCGGAAAATATAGCCCTGCGAAATTTGCAAATTTTGTATTAATTTGTATTACGCATGGGAATTTGCACCACTTTCGGCCCAAATGTGGTCAATTTTCCCGCGCGTAATACAAATTAATACAAAATTTGCTAATTTTGCAAGGCTATATTTTCCTCATTTTACAACATTTCGCAACCAAACCTTGCAATCTTACTAATTTTAACATGCTCTTTCTAGCTGTGGTGATGGATTTTGTTCTTCTTGCCTAGATCAAAATTTAGTCTAGATTTGTATCAGGGGTAAGGGTCGGCCAGTATGAAATTTCAATCCCTCTATTATTATATTTTTCAGGTGAATAATGTCGGGTCATTACGTTGGTCAACAATGCGAGTGCCAATTCGAGTTTCCAGGGTTATCTGACGTCAGCAAACTCCGCGTGACGCTCAAGAGGCCTGGATCCAACACCGAGGAATCCCTTGAGGTCACCAAAGGTCCCGGTCAATCCATCTTGATCGCGTTTATCCCCGAGGTTCCCGGAGAACATCAACTGAGCATGTTGGTCTCGGGTCGTCATGTCAGCGGTAGTCCGTTCCAAATCCCCGTGGACGAAAGCCCGGCGGCCACTGCCACAGGGAACCCAATGTCGTTAGCGTTAGAATTACCTGGCGTCAATCTCCCAACGGATTTTGAGCATCTTACGGCGAAGCTGCAAAGGCCAGGTAAAATCCGGCGCTTTGGCGATATTTCAGAACAGTTGAGAGACTATCGTGTTTAAATAATTGTAAAAAAGCCCTCGATAATTCATGAGGAAAACACAAAGAAAAATCATAAGCGTGTCGTATCTTTATATGTGATAGAGATTACCCTTGATTTACATAAACTTCAACTTTGATTATCTCGATTTACACAACGTAATTTTTGAAAATTACTCCGCCAAAGAACTTACTAGATCGATCGTTTTTGAAGTAATTTAAAACATTCGCAGTGCGTGTTTTATCAGACCTAAAGATATTCGACTTCGCCTCGTATCTTTATATCTGATAAAACACTGCTGCTCGTGTTTTAAATACTACGTAAAAAAATAAATCAATAAATGCTATTACTTATTATGACAGGTGAGAAGACAGCGAAAGATGACTTGAAACTTGAACTGTTGCCAGACAACACGGTGTCCTTGACGTTTATTCCCTTGGTTTCTGGAGAACATCTGGTTTATATTTATAAGAAAGGCAGAGAGGTATCAGGGAGCCCTTTTGCCGTACGAGCGGAAGGCCCCACCCCTCCAGATCCGTCTAAGGTTAAAGTGTTTGGAGATGGTAAGTGATATCTTCTTCAGGTAGTTCAGACACAAACCACGACAGCTTATTGTATAATACTACCTACACTGGACCACCACGTTTGAGATATCTTCTTCAGGTAGTTCAGACACAAACCACGACAGCTTATTGTAGAATACTACCTACACTGGACCACCACGTTTGAGATATCTTCTTCAGGTAGTTCAGACACAAACCACGACAGCTTATTGTAGAATACTACCTACACTGGACCACCACGTTTGAGATATCTTCTTCAGGTAGTTCAGATACAAACCACGGCAGCTTATTGTATAATACTACCTACACTGGACCACCACGTTTGAGATATCTTCTTCAGGTAGTTCAGACACAAACCACGACAGTTTATTGTAGAATACTACCTACACTGGACCACCACGTTTGAGATATCTTTTTCAGGTAGTTCAGACACAAACCACGGCAGCTTATTGTAGAATACTACCTACACTGGACCACCACGTTTGAGATATCTTTTTCAGGTAGTTCAGACACAAACCACGGCAGCTTATTGTAGAATACTACCTACACTGGACCACCACGTTTGAGATATCTTTTTCAGGTAGTTCAGACACAAACCACGACAGCTTATTGTAGAATACTACCTACACTGGTCCACCATGCTTGAGATATCTTTTTCAGTCACAAACCAAGGCGAGTGTTTGTAAACTATTCCTCAATTTCATGAATTTATTTCAGGCTGCAGACGGGGTATTTCAGGACAGTTGAGTAAGTTCACGATTGACGCCCGCGATGCTGGTGACGGTGGTCTGGGGTTCTCCGTGGAAGGGCCAAGCAAGGCCGAACTTAACTGTATTTCGAAGGAAGACGGGACATGCCAGGTGGAGTTCCTACCAAAGACTCCTGGAGTATATACCATCCATATAAAGTACGCAGATCAACATGTACCGGGCAGTCCATTTACCTGCGTAGTCGCTGGCGAAGACGGAACCCTGCCTGAGGAGGTTTGTAGCGGTGCTTTTTTTAAGGATTCTCCAGTGGTGGGGCGAAACTGCCAAAGGGCCAATTTTCCTTGCCCTCTAGCCAGGATAGTATGCGAATGCCGAAGGTGTGAGCCGAGTACCGCTGGCACGAGTTAGCTAGGGGGTCTGGGGGCATGCCCCCAAGAAAATTTTTAAAATTTGGGTCTCTCAAATAGCATCATTCTGGGGCCGGTTGTATAAAACTCTTAATCACTTAATAAATAGTGATTAACTCTCAAATAGGTGCTTCTTATTGGATGACGTTTCCACTTAACTATGATTAACTTTAATCACTTTTTTATACAACCGGCCCCTGAGAATACATTTTAAAAGAATCTCAGCTTCTCAAAACAAAGTTTTAATGGTGATATTTGTAATAAATTGCATGCTAAACATTCAAGCACAACATCAGTTTAAGTATGCTCACCAGCTAATTTCGTTTTTTAAACTTCTTTTCAATGTTAAACTCATTTACTCAATACAGGTTCTAGGGCCCTGGCTTGTGCTGGGGCAGAGGAAGGGACAGAGTGAGGCAAATGCCCCACCAGTCCATGGCTGTAGTAAGATTTACACACGTAAACAGAGCTTGGAATCAGCTTATCAACAAGATGTGTTCGCACTGGTTGTTCCCAGTTGTTGACAAGTCTGGAACAAGCTGTTATTATCTTGTAACAAGATTGATGAGGCCAACAGACTCGCAACAAGTTGTTCCAACAAGTCTGATATCGTCTGCACGTAACAAGTTGATGACTACAAGCTCCCCACCGGGTACACGACGTTGTTTCAACGTTGAAATGTGGTAGAAAAAAGATTGTGACGTCGACAACCTAATATCTACGTTGCTCTGACGTTGTTTTACAAACATTGGTTCAACAGCAGCCAACAGACGTTGAATTAACGTTTATTCATCGTTAAATGTACGACGTCGATTTGTGAACCAATCTCAACGTTGTTTTAACGTGGATTCAACGTTGAATTATGGTTGACGAGATTGGCAACCTAATTTCAACGTTGTTTCAACGTTGAAACAGTAACGTCGATCCAATTTGCATAGTCAACCCTTTTTCAACGTCTATCCAACGTCTGGAAGGTCATTTCCAACGTTGATTCAACGTTGGATGAACGTCATTTTGCCCGCTGGGTCGTAGCAACTTGTTACGAACAGCCTGTATTAGTCTTGTTGGAACAACTGGTAGCAAGTCTGTTATCATCATCAACCTTGTAACAAGGTGATAACAACTTGGAAATCAATCTGTTGTTCGTTAATCTCCAAGGATACATTTTATCAAATTCACAGGCTTATGAAACAATTGTCTTCGAGTAGAAAATAGAAAATTTTCAACTTTTAACAATGATATTTTCGGAACATTTTATGTCCGTGGAACTTTTTCTTGAGTGGACATGGGCCGAAAACGCACAAGTTTTAACAAACCTGCAACAGACTTGTAGCAATGCTGTTCCAACAACTTGTCAACAGGATGTGTTCGCACTGCTTGTTCCCAGCTTGTTGATAAGTTGTCAACGGCTTGTTGACAACTTACTACAAGGTTATTGAGCTTAACAGATTTGTTACAAGTTGTTCCAACAACTTGTTATCGTCCTGCAATTCAACAATTTGTCAACAAGTTGTGAGTGACAACCTTGTAGCAACTTGATAAAATTACAGCATTGTTACAACTTGTTGACAAGCATGATACAAGCCTGTTGCGAACACATCTTGTTGACAAATTGTGAGATTTTTTACATGTGTTCTAGGCGCGGTACATTTTGCCATTAAACATAATTCATTGTATCATTCCAGATTCCGCCACCGCGTGTGAGAACCGCTCCGGCGGACATCAGCCGTCGTGAGTTTGTCGTAGAGAGCGCGTTCCCAGTCTCCCGGCATAATCCACCCCCGGCACAACGACCCCATGGCCTAGAAGTGGACCTCACGGGCTACGACATCAGCAAGTTGAGTGCGAACGTCGAAACACCGACGGGAAAAGTCGAAAAAGCGGAAATCGTTGCAACGACACGCGACAAGTACACGATCACGTTTATAACACGAAACGGGGGCACGCATAAGGTTAACGTGTTGTATAACCGTAAACATATTCCGGGAAGTCCATTCTTGGTCGATGTGGATACCGCGAACTGGCAGTTGACAAGCAAGGCTAAGGTCATGGGACCAAAAGAGGTGACAGGGAAAGTAGGGGTCCCCTGCGAGTATCTATTGTCAACGAAGGACTCTGGGGGAGGAAAACTTGGCGTCTCTGTCGAGGGGCCTGTCAAGACCGAGATTCATTGCGAGCCCATCGGACACGACGAGTATAAAATTCACTTTACCCCGACGACGCCCGGAAGATTCGTCGTATATTTGCGTTTTAACGAACAGGATATATTCAAATCTGTAGTGACGGTGCCGGGAGATGCGTCCAGTGCTGGCGAACCGACGGAGCTCTCGAATAGGAATGTCAAAGTCGGCGAGAAATTCACTCTGGAAGTACCCCACACAGGTACCGCTGACCAGATGACGTCACACGTTATAACCCCCGCGGGCGCAAAGATTCCGGCTCAAGTAAAAAAGATCGACAACGACACGTATGGGATTATATTTGTTCCCGAAGAGCCTGGTGATTATATTATCCATATTTTACTGAAGGGCGTGCCGCACTCCGGCAGCCCATATAAGCTTACGGTTGGGAGCCATGAGGTTGATCCCAGTAAAATCCGCGTGCATGGGCCTGGTCTAAAACGTGCAACCGCTGGTCAGGAAACAAGCTTCACTGTGGACGCAAAGGATGCTGGACCGGGAACGCTGTCCATAGATGCCGAAGGCCCGGAGAAGTTGGACGTCCGCTGTGAACAGCAGACTGAAGGCTCGTATCTTGTCTCCTACACTCCAAAGGTCAGCGGTAATTATCAAATCAATATCGGTTTCGGAGGTGCGAATGTGCCGAACAGTCCATTCCAAATCAAAGTCGCCCCAGACCCCAACTCGGGCAACGCGGAGCTGTGCACGTCACGTGGTTCGGGTCTATACGGCGGAGTACAAGGTCGCCCCAGTCCATTCACGGTCAACTGTAGCAAGGCTGGTCGTGGGTCACTTCTCGTAGGGGTCGAAGGTCCGACCATCCCGGTGAACGAGATTAATATTAAGCACGATGGCGATAATATATTCCTGGTCGACTATAGCTTGGAGGAACCCGGGGACTACATCTTGAAAGTTCTCTGGGGAAACGAACATATCCAAGGCTCGCCATTTCCCGTCAGAGTCGAGGGGGCCGAGGGCATCCGTGTTGGACGTTAGAGACTGGGACAAAGTCACTGATCTCAATAGGACTGAACTTTTTTATATTATGGACGTTAGAGACTGGGGCAAAGAAGCGAAGCTAAGCCTGCACTATCGAGGATTTCTGTGGACAGTCGGGGACACTTTTACAGGGTTTGTTATGAACATCTAGGGCTAGGCAGACTTGCACGGATTTTAAATAGGATTTTTAAATAGGAATTAATTAGTTTTTGTAAATTTTATGCCTAATATATTTGAATGGAATGTAAACGTTTGATTTAAATGAACAATTTTAAAATTAAGACACAATTTCCTTTGCTTTTTTTGGGCAAATAAGCAAATTACACCAAACTATTATTGTTTCCTAGCCATATTACCTAAAGGTGGGCAAACAAGGAAATATTATTTCCTAGCCATGTTTCCCAAAGGTGGACAAACCAGGAAACGTTCTAAAGTATTTGCTAGTTTTCCCAGAACTGTATTTTGCATTAAATTACGGTGCTTGCGCCTCTATTGACCAAACAGAGTTAGAAAACACTTCTAACTTTGTCCAGGGGATTACACAAATCGCGTCACAAGAAAACAACCGAATTTGAAATTTTTGAAAAATGTTTATATTTTAAAACCCTCAAGGAAAAATATTGAAAGAAGTGTTCATTTGACACGCGATATTTTGACACATACCTGACCGCTGGCACAAACTAATGCTTATGTTGTAATTCTTGAAAGATTAGGAAACCCAGAGTATACATACGGACTTGCTCTTGATTTGAGTGAAGCGGAACAGCCATTGTACACTCCCTTACTCGTCTGCCCTTTACACACTTTATAGGCGTTCGGAGCTGGCGTTGGTTTCACTGAGTAAAGAAAACATTGCAGTGTTACTACAGGAGGAAACATAAACTAAACTAACTTCATTTATACTGGATAGCTCTATCAGTTCTAAACTGTTCCTCTTAGAGGTCCAGTAAGGATCATCTCTTATTGATCCAGTGTTACTATAGCATAGGAGGAAACATAAACTAAACTAACTTTATTTATACTGGATAGCTCTATCAGTTCTAAACTGTTCCTCCTAGAGGTCCAGTAAGGATCATCTCTTATTGATCCAGTGTTACTACAGGAGGAAACCTAAACTAAACTAACTTTATTTATACTAGATAGCTCATCAGTTCTAAACTGTTCTTCCTAGAGGTCCAGTAAGAGTCATCTCTTATTGATCCAGTGTTACTACAGGAGGAAACCTAAACTAAACTAACTTTATTCATACTGGATATCTCTATCAGTTCTAAACTGTTCTACCTAGAGGTCCAGTAAGGATCACCTCTTATTGATCCAGTGTTACTACAGCAGGAAACCTAAACTCAACGAACTTTATTCATACTGGATAGCTTATTGATCCAGCGTTACTACCGGATGAAACTAAATCCCTAAAAACTGTGGAGTTAATTTTATTCAAACAACATCTAGACACAAGTGGAAAGCGATTCCTACCAGTTTTTAATGGTCTCGGCCTGCTGCTCATACTATATCCTTGTGCAGTTTTCTTCACTTTTGGATGATATTCAGCAGGTCCAGGTCCGTTGCTGTTTGAAACTGATCAGAGAAAAATAGAATAATTAGGCATTTGAAAAGGGAGTTTTGGCATTTGAAAACTGAGTGTTGGCATTTAAAAAGGGAGTTTTGGCATTTGAAAAAAGAGTTTTGGATTTCAAAAGGGAGTTTTGGCATTTGAAAACAGAGTTCTGGCATTTGAAAAGGGAGTTTTGGCATTTGAAAACGGAGTTTTGGCATTTGAAAAGGGAGTTTTGGCATTTGAAAACTGAGTTTTGGCATTTGAAAACTGAGTTCTGGCATTTGAAAACTGAGTTTCAGCATTTGAAAAGGGAGTTTTGGCATTTGAAAACTGAGTTTTGGCATTTAAAAAGGTAGTCCTGGCATTTGAAAACAAAGTTTTGGCATTTGAAAAGGGAGTTTTGGCATTTGAAAAGGGAGTTTTGGCATTTAAAAAGGGAGTTTTGGCATTTGAAAGCAGAGTTCTGGCATTTGAAAAGGGAGTTTTGGCATTTGAAAACTGAGTGTTGGCATTTAAAAAGGGAGTTTTGGCATTTGAAAACAGAGTTCTGGCATTTGAAAAGGGAGTTCTGGCATTTGAAAAGGGAGTTTTGGCATTTGAAAAGGGAGTTTTGGCATTTAAAAAGGGAGTTTTGGCATTTGAAAACAGAGTTCTGGCATTTGAAAAGGGAGTTTTGGCATTTGAAAAGGGAGTTTTGGCATTTGAAAACTGAGTGTTGGCATTTAAAAAGGGAGTTTTGGCATTTGAAAACAGAGTTCTGGCATTTGAAAAGGGAGTTCTGGCATTTGAAAAGGGAGTTTTGGCATTTGAAAAGGGAGTTTTGGCATTTAAAAAGGGAGTTTTGGCATTTGAAAACAGAGTTCTGGCATTTGAAAAGGGAGTTTTGGCATTTGAAAAGGGAGTTTTGGCATTTGAAAACTGAGTGTTGGCATTTAAAAAGGGAGTTTTGGCATTTGAAAACAGAGTTCTGGCATTTGAAAAGGGAGTTCTGGCATTTGAAAAGGGAGTTTTGGCATTTGAAAAGGGAGTTTTGGCATTTAAAAAGGGAGTTTTGGCATTTGAAAACAGAGTTCTGGCATTTGAAAAGGGAGTTTTGGCATTTGAAAAGGGAGTTTTGGCATTTGAAAACTGAGTGTTGGCATTTGAAAAGGGAGTTTTGGCATTTGAAAACAGAGTTCTGGCATTTGAAAAGGGAGTTTTGGCATTTGAAAACTGAGTTTTGGCATTTGAAAACTGAGTTTTGGCATTTGAAAACTGAGTTTTGGCATTTGAAAACTGAGTTCTGGCATTTGAAAACTGAGTTTCAGCATTTGAAAACAGAGTTTCAGCATTTGAAAACAGAGTTTTGGCATTTAAAAAGGTAGTCCTGGCATTTGAAAACAAAGTTTTGGCATTTGAAAAGGGAGTTCTGGCTTTTGAAAAGGTAGCTCTGGCATTTGAAAAGGGAGTTCTGGCATTTGAAAACTGAGTTGGCCATAGCATGCATCGATTCTGCTGAACCAATTTTAATAATCTTAATAATTCATCTTATAGATTGGAATTTTTATGCCTATATGATAATTAGATGTGTAGTTGTTATACGTTCGATTTTTTTACCTTTTTTCGAGTGGGATTGACCCATAGAGAATTCTGGAGCTTTGTGAGCGTCTGGTCTGCATGGCACTGTGATCTTATAATGATTTGGTCCAGGATAGTCATCTAAAAGTCGAATATAAATGGTCAACTTTACAATAAGCTGTCGTGGTTTGTGTCTGAACTCCTGAAAAAGATATCTCAAACGTGGTGGTTCAGTGTAGGTAGTATTCTACAATAAGCTGTCGTGATTTGTGTCTGAACTACCTGAAAAAGATATCTCAAGCGTGGTGGTCCAGTGTAAGTAGTATTCTACAATAAGCTGTTGTGGTTTGTGTCTGAACTACCTGAAAAAGATATCTCAAACGTGGTGGTCCAGTGTAGGTAGTATTATATATCCTACAATAAGCTGCCGTGGTTTGTGTCTGAACCCTAACCGTACAAGATCAGAGAAGAACCCAACACTTACTGGTCACATTACGATTTCTTTTTCCCATCGAATGAGCAGGAGAATTATTTTTATCAAATCCTTTATCTGCGTCGTAGGTATCGGGGCCTACACTTTCATTCTTCATTAAACCTAGAAATGATTTTCAAAATTGTTATTGGCCATAATTATATTATAGCCTTGTAATCCGTTTTGATGGTTGGCTTGTGGGTTTGTGGAGCCCTTTGTCTTTACACTTCAAAATTATACATAAACAAAATAAATCTAACAAGATTCTAACATTAAAGGGGCAATGTCACCGATTTTTGACCTAAAATACCGTTTATTCAAAAACTGAACTACAAAGTTAAAAATAAACATTGTAAATGGATTAAGTTATGATATACGAGTCATATTAAACAACTTTGAACTTCCACGACAATAATATACATAAAAATTGACTAAAACTTGAAAAAGTATCTGCCAACAATTAATCAAGATGCCATTTACAATCCATCTCAATCCTGGCGTAATCTTGCCCATCCAGACTTCTGTACATGTTTTTTGTGTCTGTTATTGCTTTATTTTGTGCTTACACTCA